GACGATGATGATGATGACGATGATGACGATGATGATGATGATGATGATGATGATGATGATGATGATGATGATGATGATGATGATGATGATGTCGGAGCCAGTTGTTCCTTTGAGGAGTTCGCAAAGGCGCGGACGCATGTTTTGTTTCGGTCGTTCAAGCACTTCTGGTGCAAAAGCATCCGTTGCAACATGTGTTCGGGACATTCGATAGTCATACCCATACGAAAACGACAGGGTTTGAACGATTCCGGCATGTGCGCACGACGACGCGCGCGTGTGCAGTTCGCCCCGCCAACGAACGCGCGCGATTAGGATACATTGCCAGGGAAAGGTCGGGTGGGTCGATACGGGGCTGCTAGGGATGGTACAGTTTCATATTTCGGACGGACGAATGTGCAGAACCAAATTTGGGGGGTGGACGAACGTTATTTATTTTGTGGGAGAAGATAACCTACCCGTCAAGCCCACACGACAGGCGGCGACGAGGCGGCGTCGGAGCGGCGACGGCAACGTCATAGCCGCCAGACCGGCACGCAGGCCCAGACGACGGGTGGCGATGAAGCGGCGACGGGGCGGCTACGGCGACTACAAACCGCAAGCATGCCCACACGACGGGAGGTGGACAGAGCGGCGACGGCGACGACATAGACCGCACGCAGGCCGAGGTCCTTAGAGGAGACGCGAGAGCCCCTAGGTGCAAGCACTGTTGCGGAATCCTGTGTATGCATATACCGATAGGTCGATAGATTCCCCCAGGTGTGCTTGCATTCGAGGTGTTTCCCCTGTACCCCAGGCAGCGCTTGCACCCAGGGTCTTCTCCTTGGTGCTCCCAGGCTGTGGGGCCTGCCTGGCGGTCTGGCTGCTCCGTTGTCGCCGCTGCCGCCCGCGCCGCCGCCTCGTCGCCGCGTCGTCGTCTGGGCCTGCGCGGTGGCCTCCGCGTGCAGACCACCAGCCCCTCGTGCGCGCCGCCGGCTGTCGCCTCGGCCCTGGCCTCGCTGGCTTCGCGGTCCCCTCCTCGGTCCCCATCGTCGTTGTTCAGCCACGCGCGGAGGGGGGGTATGGTCGCAGGCCTAGAGGTTGACACCAACACCAAGATCGGCGGTGTGCCTCCACCGAGGGAAGACGAGCCCGATCTCGGCGATGGTGGTAATATTCTGGCTTCCAAGGTCACCAAAGTATGACCACCAACGCCGAAATCTAGGATCATCTTCCCCATGTGGAGGCAACCCCCTGTGCTGGTGTTGGTGCCAATTTCCAAGCCTCCAATATGGGGGAGGGGGGGAGGCATTTTGGAAGCACCCCTGCTTCTCAGAAGGCGCGGGCCTTGTCTGTGGATGTAGGGCCAGCGCCTTCTGAGAAACAGCCTCCTTCTAAGAAGCCTTCCCCCTTCTCCCTACCCCCCCTGCGCGCCGCGAAGTGACGTCGTATTGTTGTACCGAAGGGGGCCGGGGCGTGACGTCAGCCCACGTCCAACTATGTGCATGCACATCTGAGCCGCCTACGGCGAATCACCGCCACCGTGCCTGGGTTGTGGGCAACAGGCGTACTGGATGTTCGTCGGGATGCCGCGGGATGCATCTCGGGGACCTCGTGGAAGCAGTTTTAAGGTGGAGGCCGTTTTCGGGCCTTTTGGGGCGTCTTGGGGCGTACCGGGAGCTCTGGGGGCCTGTCGGGGGCATCTTGGGGCCTCCGGGGGGCATCTTGGGACGGAAGGCTCGAACTGTCGGTTCGGGCTCCCTTTCTTGGGCCCTCTTGGGGCCGTTTTGGGGTTCTCTCGGGCCGTCTTTAGGGCCCTCTTGGACCGTCGTGGGGCCCTCTTGGGGGACTCCGTGTCCGTCTTGGGGTGGTCTTGGGGGCTTCATGGTACGGCTTTGATGCGTCGGAAGACCGAAATTTCCAGAACCTAAACAACATTGGAAAACGTAGCGGAAATCTTTGATGTTGGTTTCTCGGGTCCCACTTAAGAAGGCTCTTGCAGCTCATTCGGGGCGTTTTGAAGGCTTCTTGGGACATCTCAGAGCCACCTTGAGCACTCTTGGCCCGTCTTGGGCTCTTCTCGGCCCCGAAGAAGTCATGCGCCACTTCTCGGGGGAGCTCATGGGGACCGCGCCAAGCCCCAGGAGATTTGACAATATGGGGTCCGTGCTCCCTGAAGATTCCTAGGGAGTGAGGACTGAGGCCCAGGGGATCGAGCAAGGTACCCGAGGACACGCCAATTCGTCCCCGAGGGCAGGCACGTTAGTAGATATGAATTCGACACGTGTATATGTGTATATATATATATATATATATATATATATATATATATGTGATATCTATATATGTATATAGATATAGATAGATAGATATATGTATATATACATATGTGTAATAAAGAAACAAGTGCCGCCCCCCCGGCCCCAGGTCCCACACCTCCCCGTGACATCTCGGGGACGCTCCCAGTACCGCTCCCCCGGCCTTTCCGGGGAGCCTCCACAGCGCTCCAGGAGGGCCCAAGACGCCTCCCAGGAGCCCCCAGAATGCGAAAGGATGGCCCAAGACGCTTCCAAGCAGCCCAAGTCAGCCTTCGGATTGCTCTCGAGGCTCCCAGGTGGCCTCCAAGAGACCCCGAGAGAAATCCGAGAGGCGTCCCGGGACGGCCCGAAGAGGCCAACATCGTACATGTTCTTCGGTGTTTGTCTATGTTTTTGGCTTCTCGCGTGTTCGAGCTTCCAACGGTCCAAGAGCGCAGAAGAGGCTCCCAAGACCGCCCCAAGACCACCCAAGAGACCCTCAGGACGTACCCAAGACGGGCCAAGAAAGCTCCAAGATTGCCGAAGAGGCGCCCAGGACAGCCCCAGACCACCCCAGAACAGGCCCAAGATGGGCCCAAGAGCGGGAGCAGGAGGTTTCCAGAGACATCCGAGAGGCCTCTAGGACCACCCAGAGGCCCCCAACACACCCCCGATCCCTGAGAGGCCCCAAAAAGACCCCGACGAGGCTCCAAGAACAGCCCAAGAGAGCTGCGAGAGCCATCCCGAGAGAGCCCAAAGAGGGTAAAATCGTTGATTTCCATTGGTTTTTCTGCTGTTTTTCGCCTTCTCACGTTTTCCCACCTCCAACCTTCGAAGATCGAGGATTACAAAAAGAAGAAGAAGAAGAAGAATTCCCAGAATTCTTTTGATTGTTTTGCAAAGTGGACTCCTATTCAGAGATCCCACACATCCCCTGACATCTGGCCGGTACCGCGCCTCCCGGCTTCCTGGGGGACCCCCAAGACGCCCAAGGACAGCCCAAGACGACCCCAAGGAGTTCCCAGAACGTAAAGAACGGCCCAACACGCTCCCGCGCAGCCCGAGACCATTTTCCGACGGTTCTCCAGGCCTCCAGGAGGCCTCCAGAACCACCCGGAGATCCGGAAGATCCCACACCCCTGAGGGGCCCGGCTAACAAAACCCGCGAGGCACAAAAAACAGCGCCGAACAGCGCCAAGGAATTGAACAAAAATGGAAATGCCACACTTCCTTCTTTTTTTGAAGTTTGGCCCCAGGTCTATTCTTGCACAACAGACCACAATTCAGACCCCCCTCACCTCCAAAACAAACCCAGGAAGCTTTTGAGGGCCCCAAATTGTTGAATACCTAAAAAGGAAATTAATGATTTCTGCGTTTCCGCACTTCCCCTTCTACACGATTCCGAGGCTTGCGCAGGGCCTCCAAGGGAGTCCTTGGACGCAAGAAGCGACCAACTTGATATTACATGAGTTAGCTCGCCTATCATGCCTAGCTAGAACTTGAACGCGCGCGAAGCGCGCGAGATGGTTCTAGTATCTACATGTATATGTGTGTGTGTGTGTTAGGCAGCGCTGGCCCCCAAACAGTACGGTATTGCACTGTGGAGGTGGAAGCTTTGCAGTGTAGGCTGTGTGGTGACAGCTATGTTTTGTGAGTTGTGTGGTGAGGTTTATGGAAGTGAAAGCTATGCTGTGTAAGCTGTGTGTTGCAATGTATGCCGCGTGAGATATGTGGTGTGAGATATGAGTGTTAAAGCTGTGGGATGACACGTGCATCGTGTAAGCAATGTGGCGTGAGCTGTGGAGGTGAACTCTATGTCTAAGCTATGCGGTGTGAGCTGGAGGTGGGAATCATGTGCAAGCTAAGTGATGTAATCTACGGGGTGCGAGCTGTGCAGCGTAATCGGAGTGCGTCGTACCATCTGTTGTGTAAGCTATGCCGGGAAAGCTATGCCGTGCAAGCTCAGTGCACGGGGCGCCCACGAGGCGGCAGGGCGGCAGCGTGGCGAAGCCTCGGCACATCCCCGACCCCACACGCGCTGGGCGCCCACGAGGCGGTACGCTTCGCAACGTGGCGCAGACCCAGCATGCCCCCGAGCAGCGCGGGGCGCCCACGAGGCCCCACGGGCGGCAGCAAGGCGCAAGCACGGCACATTCCCCAAGCGCTGGGCGCACATGAGGCGCCCACGAGGCGGCCACGGGCGCGTATAAGCGCGGTGCGCCCACGAGGCGCCCGCGAGGCGGCACCGGGCCGCAACTGCGGCGACAACTCGACACGCCCATCCAGTTCCTTGGACAGCAGAAGTGCTACACCAGAAGTGCAAGCACGGTTTGCGGAATAATTATGTCTATATACGTGTGTGTATATATATACACGCATACATAAACAAATGCATAGATCCCAGTCTACGGGGCCTGGGGCCCCAGGGCCCGGGGCCCGTCAGCACATTGGGACGGGGGCCCGTCCCAGAAGGCTTCCGAGTCGGCTCAAGAGGTGCCCCAGACGGGCCAAGAGGGTCCCGAGTCGCCGGAGAAAGATCCCCAGACGCCCCTGATGGCGTCAAGGTGGTCCCAAACGCCCCCAAGACGCTCTATAAGAGCTTCCAGACGGCCCAGAACATTCACTGGGCTCCAGGCGCTACGCGCTGGGTGTCAGGTCCTAATCGACTCTAGGACGGCCCTTGTGTTTTCTGCTGCCTAGCTCTTGTCGAGTCAGGGGGGGCCAGAGAATCGTCGATAGTTTTGCTCATCTCACCATGTCCCTTGTGCGGTGGCTTTGTTGCGTGACAGTAATTTATCTGACGCGCGGGTCCCTTTGCTGAATTCAAACGCTGCGCGCAGGGTGTCGTGTTCTGGTCGAGCCGAGGACGGCCCTGGGTGTGTTCTGATTTCGAGCCTATGTCGAATCATGGGCGGCCAGAGCATCAGTAAAGTGTTTGGTTTTTCAAGGTCCCTCCACCTGTGCGGTGAGTTCTGGACGAACGCAAAATTCAGACGTTTCGCGTCCTGGCGCCCTGGACCGCGCGCCTACAGATCCACGCGGCCAGTTCGACCAAACAGCGTCTCAGAGCTGGGCTCCCCGGCTGGAGTTTTCACACGGCCGAGTGGTGCAGGCCTTCCACCGCCCCCCCCCCCAACCCAACGTGGGAAGAGGGACCATCTCTGCCGCTCGGCCGCAGTGGTCCAACAACCTCTGCACCCCTTGTGCGTTTCAAGGCTGCCTTCGGGATGGTCTATCTGGGTGATTCGGGTTCACATATCTGCTGAGAAGACCACCTACCCCTAGTGTTTCGGGCCTCTTGACTGAGGCCCGCATCGAAATTCTCAGGGGGCCCTGAACTGCTGGTCAGGTGCCCGCGCCCGCTTGCCCCCGCAGGAGCTGAAGGAGGAGGAGCCCGTGCCCGTGCCCGAGCTCCTCAGCGTCCCCGCCTCGCCGGAGGGGGGCCCGCTGGCGGACCCCGCGGCGGCGGAGGCGCGGGCGCGTCGTGGCGTCGCAGATTCGCCCCGTGGAGGAGGGGGGGAGCCCTGGGGAGGGGGATGATGGGCTCGAGGCGCGAAGAGCAGCGCTGTTCGAGAGGGCGGCGGAACGAGAGACCCTGGGAGGGGGAGGAGGGGTTCGGGGATCGTGGTCTGGGCACGTTGCCGTAGATTCCCAGAAGGATCCCAGCCTCGGGGGGCTTTCCTGCAGCTGCGCCTCGCCGAGGGCGTTCCGGGGGTACCGGAGACCCGAGTGACGACTCTGTCCCGAGAGCCAGACACTTTCGCGTCACGATATCATTCACTGCGTGGAGCTCCCCAGATGTGCATATATTTCGGGACCGTTCTCCCGGGATTGTCCAGGCGCAACAGACTTCGAGTATAAACGAGCATGGGTATTGACATATTGGTAGTGAGTCTCACGGTGAGTGAGTTCGAGTGTGAATGAGTCTCAGTTGTGCAAGTGAGGCTGTGCGCATGAGTCTTGATCTGGCTCAGCTCAGGGTAGATGCGCGTCAGTGGCCTGAGCATGACATGGCGGGACTGAGTCGACATGGCCGCGCGATCCATCCCTCCATGACGAAGGAAGGAACATGAGTGCTCATGTAAACGCCGTGCCAGACCCTTGCACGCCGTTCTCTGGCACAGAAGATTTTACGCATTGGCTCACTCAGATATCTCGCGCGGCACAGCACGTAAAGGAGCGAGAGAGAGTTTGCTCGCGGCCTTGCGCTGGAAGCTCACACGCCAGCGTCCCGCTGGCAGAGCGAGCTGCGGCGGCCCAGGCCCAAGAGCACACGTCGGCCAAGGGGGGGCACGCGGTTCGGCTTTCAAGCGGCCAGAGCAGGTCCTGTTCGCCACCAGAACTCGGCATCGCTCGGACATGTGCATGTTTCCTTCAACCAGCGAGGAGCATCCTTGACCATTTGGCGAAAAAACCACGCACGGAACCAAACAAGCAGAGGGAATGGACGTCCGAGCGATGACCAGCTCCGCACTTGGGGGCCCGTGGGTCTGGCGACGATCTACACTTGGCATCGAGCAGCGCGCGGCTGGGCGTGCGGGGAATTCGAAGAATAGGTCGTCCGTGCTTGGCGTCGGGCCGGCAGCCTGACCATGCTCACGCAACGGCCATAAAAAAAACATTGAGCGGATTGCTTACTTGCCAGCTCCTGCAAAACCGTCCGCACGTGGCATCGGGCCACAAAGGGCTAAAGCAGATACTCTTGCGCAGCGCCATTCCGAATTTCTCGGCAAGCATCTCCAACGTTGAACCGACCTGCTTCCCGAAGCGATGGAGGGCCTCCTTCACAGACTTCGGTGGACCTTGGACCTTTTTCACCAGCTGCCAGCAAGGGGGCGGCCGCACCAGCACCATGTCCGCCATCTCTATGGCGTGGACATCACGTAGAGATTCAGCCGACATGGGTCGTCGTGAGGGCCGCGCTGTACGTTGGTTCCGGGCGTACGCAGTCGATCGTCACTGCGCCAAGTGTGGTCTGCCCGTGCGGGGCCGTCGTCGTCAGGTAGTTGGCGTGCGAAAGTATGGGGCCGAAACGCTCCATGCTGTGCGCCACGGACGACGCATCCCAGGTGAAGGTGGCCTCCGTCATAGGCATGCAGAACAGTCCGCGAGCGATATTCTCTTTTGCCGCCCTTTCTTCGTTGTCCACGTAGTCCATGAATTCTTTCCACGAGGGGGGCCTGCTTGAAGTCGTCGGCCTGCAGCCAACTGTCCGCCGGGGACGGCGCGGCCTGATGATCTCGCTTGGGTGCGCGTTTGTTGTAATGAATATGGTCGTCCATGGCACGAAGCCAACGATGGTGGCCCGCTGTTTCTGGACTTGCTAGCGAAGCGAACTTGAACTCCCACGTGAGCAGGAAACACGCCGTCGCTCCTGTCTGTGCGGTAAATCTTGGCCCCATTCAACATTCTGGAGTACGTGCCCCCCCTCGTGAGTGCTGGAGCTAGCGCGCTCGCCCCGCAAATGCGTCCGGCCATCAAAACAAGCAAACCGCTTAAAACATCCTCGCAACTGGGCCCCTTGGGGTGCAACAGTCACCGCCTCGCTTGAGACATCCTCGGGTGCTGCTTCGAATGCGTACGAGTTTGGCCACCCACAGAGGCACACCGCCCAATACATCCTCGCAATCTGAGCCCCAGGCGGTGCTGAAACCAGCACCTTACCCGAGACATCTTCATAATCTGCTCTGCACGCAGACGAGCGTGGCCACCAAAGCAGGCAATCCGGTCGAGACGTCATCGCAATCTGTGCACTCGGGTACGAAAGTTAGCGCCTCGCCCGGGACATCTTCAACATTTGCACCGAAACCGGGGGATGTTGGGCTGTTATGAGGCAAACCGTTCGAGACACCCCCGCAATTTGGGCGCGAACGGTGCGGTGACATACCCCCTGACAGTTCCACCTCGGGCGTGTTGAAACCAGCGCCTCGCCCGAGACATCCCCATAATCTGGTCTGAACGCAGACGAGTCCGGCCACCAAAACAACTGTTACGAAAGCCGAGGATGTTTGGGTCGGTAAAAAGGCAGTCCGCTTGAGAAATCTCCGCTATCTTGGCGCGAACGGAGGGGTGAGATACCCCCTGGCGGGCCCCCGCTGCAGGTGTTGAAACCACCGCCTCGCCCGAGACATCCTCACATTTTTCTCCAGCATCATCATCATCATCATCATCATCATCATCATCATCATCATCATCATCATCATCATCATCATCATCAGCATCAGCATCAGCATCATCAGCATCATCATCATCATCATCATCATACGCAGCATCAGCATCACATCATGATCATCATCATCATCATCATCATCATCAGCATCATCATCGTCGCCGTCCTTGAGATCATCATCGTCATCACCATCATTGTCATCAGCATCATCATCATCGTCAGCATCAGCATCAGCAGCATCACCATGACCACCATCACCACCACCACCACCATCATCATCATCATCATCATCACCATTACCATCACCGTCATCATCATCATCATCATTATCATCACCAACGTCTTCGTCGTTATCAGCATCGTATCATAACTTGAGTAGTGGTGACCCTGCATGTTATTCTGAATGTGCGAAGTTCCAGACGTTTCGCATATCCCCGCCAGCCTATCCCGAAACGATGTCCAGGCGAGTCGAGGTGATCGTGGAAGTGCGGGAGCAAAGAGGGGAACGGTCGAACCGTGCGAAGGAGGGGGGAGGAGAATGAGGAGGCTGGATGGATGGATGAGGGAGTGGGGAGGAGGAGGAGGACTAATAGGATGAGGAGGAGGAGGCGGAGGAGGAGGAGGAAGAGTAGGAGTAGGAGGAGGATGGAGAAGCAGGAGGAGGAGGGCAGGCAAAAGGGCCAGAGGTCTCTCGGATGCCTCTCGGAGCCTCTTGGGGTATCTCTTGGGCGCTTCTTGGTGGCCTCTTGGGACGTCTTGGGGGTCTCTTGGCGGTCCTAGGGGGCTCTTGGGCGTCTTGAGTGCCTCGGGGGGGCCTCTTGGGGCCGCTTGGGGTCCTCTTGGGGGCCTCCTGGGAGCACTATAGAGCGATTCTCGCCCACCGGCACCGGCACCGGCACCGGCACCGGCACCGGCACCGGCACCGGCACCGGCACCGGCACCGGCACCGGCACAGCCACTGGCGCCGGCACCGGCACCGGCACCGGCACCGGCACCGGCACCGGCATGCACCGGCACCGGCACCGGCACCGGCACCGGCACCGGCGCACCGGCACCGGCACCGGCACTTGCACCGGCACCGGCACGGGCACTGGCACCGGCACCGGCGCCTGCGCCGGCGGCATTGGCACCGGCACCGGCACGGGCACCAGCGCCGTCGCCGTCGCCGGCGCCAGCACCGGCACTGGCACCGCAACCGCACCGGCACCAGCCCTGGCACCAGCACCGGCACCGGCACCGGCGCCGGCGCCAGCACTGGCACCGGATGAAAAACATCATTGACGTTGAACATCATAACATTTCCCAAACAGTGCTTGCACTTAGGGGGCCTTCTCTCTTCTTTCCTAGTATTAGCTTGGTCGTCTGAGGGGCGGTCTGGCGGCTCTCTCCTCCTCGCCGTTGCCGCCCTGTCGCCGCCCGTCGTCGTCTGGGCTTGAGGGGCGGTCTGGTTTTTCCGTCCTTGCCGTCGCCCCCCCTTGCTGCGTCGTCGCCGCCCGTCGTCTTGGCCTGAGGGTCGGTCTGGCGGTTCCTTGCTCGTCGCCGTCACCGTCCCGTCGCCGCCTCCTCGTCGCTGCCCTGTGCGCCCCCCCAGCGGTTGCAATCCAATCGGTTGCAAGCCAATCAAGTGCAAACCCAGTGGAATCGATTGCAGTCCAATCAATGGTAAAATTATGCAAACGCAGTTCCCCACATAAAGATTATCCCGGCAAAGCAACCTAACAGCGATGTGTAGAAGCATATATCTGAAAGCATTCCCCTTCAGATTCATATGAAAATCCAGTTGTAGAATTCTGCTGTTCTCGCAGTCGTAGTCGCATTCGCGATGACAGTCGCAGCGGCAACGGCAGTCGCCTCAGCCTCACAGCCTCAGCCTCAGCCTGCCTCAGCCTCAGCCTCAGCCTGCTCAGCCTC